TAATGAACTGGAACTTAAAAAAGTAATTTTTAACATTTTGAAACAAAACTAACAGAAAAGTTACAAGTACAGTACAAAGACCTTTTTTTGGAACTGCTTTGAGAATAAGTTGCCAACCTGATGCCCTGTAGAGCAGACCCTTGACCAAAGACCAGGGACCACTGGCCCTGAAACATTACTGCCATCTAATCCTCAGACCCCATTCAGGGGCCACCACTGGACTTGGTAATATCCTCTGTAGTGGAAACGTGCAGTTCAGCATCACCTGTTGCCTGTTGTCCTGTCTCTTGAGTCTCCTTCAGTCCTGGACATTCCTCAGTTTTTCTTTGACTCCCATGACCTGGACACTTCTGAAGGGGACATCATTTTGTAGACTGTCCCTTAGTTTAGGTTTGTCTGACGTTCCCTCATAATTAGATTCGGGCCAAGCAGGAGTAACACAGGAATGGGGCTGTGTCCTTCTCATAGAATCCCACCGAATGGCACCTGATTTCAGTTTGTTCCGTCACTGGTGGTGTTCACTTTGGCCACTGAGGTGGGTTTTCCCTGACTTCTCTACCGAACAATGACTCTCTTCCATTTATCATTAAGATGTATTTCTTGGACGATACTTTGAAATTATGTTAATATCCTGTCCCCCGTCTACTTTTTCATTTATTTTTATCTGTATGGACTCATTGTCTTTTATTTGGTAGTTTATAACCAGTTAACTGTATTACTGGCTTCAAAGTTCAAATCATACCCAATTTGGCCACTCGGGTCACCTTCAGGCTGGCTTCCCTGGCACTTTACATGTCTACAGCACCCTTGAGGCACTCCCTTGCTTTCTGACACCAGATGCTTCAGGCCTCTTCTTGCACTGTCTTTCCCACATCTCTGGAATCAATCGTTTCTCCAAGGAGCCCTGGTTCCTGAGTGGAAAATGGAATTTAGAAGTGGAAGTCGGTGTGTTGATTACTATTGGAGGGGTGCTATTCTTAGGCTGTTTCAGGGGCAGAATGAGGGAATATGCGTGTGTGTACACACACACACACACACACTCACACTCTTTTCCATCTATATTTACTTCTATAGACTGGCTTCTATAGACAGGGCCTGAGGGTGCTTGGGGGGTGGTGCCCTCAAGAAACTATTCTAAGGTTTATCCAGCCAACTCAAGGCACATCACTTGCTGTCTTGTTTATGCAGCAGGGGGAAATCCTGCTTTTGCGAGCTCACTAGTATATTCAACTGCTTGCTCCTGCCTGTTGGTATGAAGGAGAGCTGGGTAGCTGACTTTAGAGAATGTCTCTTGCTGTCTGAAATACTTCTGGACATTCCTTCTGTCTGAGAGAAGCCTACGCCTTCCAGCCAAACAATACATGGCCCAGCAGCAAAGACATTTGTAATGGGCCCTGCCAGCATTTCTTGCCCGTGACCCTGTTCCCTAAGTAGAATGCCCTGCAGAGCCGGAATGTCCCTATGCTGAACATTATGTGTTCCAGGGAACAGTTTGGGAGTTCAACTGATAGGTGTGTCAAGTGAGTTGCTTGTTTTCTTACACTCCAAGGAATGGTGTTTGGAGCAAGGCCCTGCCAAACTATACTATGGAGCACAAAATAAGAACAGCGAGGTCTTGGTACAATGCAGGGCCTTTGCGACTCTAACATGAATTCATAATGAGGGGAGATCCTGTTCGAGAGCAATGGAAAGAATCCTCTGTCTCCACCTGCAATCTTCTTAGCCTTCCCTAAACAGTAAGTCTTCCATCCTTTACCTCTTCATTCACCTCATTTGGCTAGGAATGGGGTTCTGGATTTGTCTAAACCATTATTAGGCATGGTTTTGAGGTAGATCTGTGCCCGTCCAGCTTTGCCTGCTACTACTGTTGCTGCAGGTCTGACCATCCTGCCCCATTACCTAGGGATTCTGCAGGAAGACCACTGACCTTGGAGCCTCTCGGTTCAGTTCTGCCCCTTCGTAGCCATGTGACCGCACATAGGTCGTTTATCATCTCCGTCTTTGTTCTTTCATTACGAGAATGAAAAAACTCATTGTCCTGAGAATTAAGAGCAGATATGTAGGGGCAAGCCCTCTGTAAGCTATAAAGCACCATTCAGATGGAAGGTTTTGTTTACTTACTGAAAACTAAACTCATCAAGTGTCTATGGCATACCAGGCACTCGGGTGCTGAGAACTTCTTAGGTTGACAGTCAAGTGGCTCAACCAGAAGCCCAAGGTTTGGTTCTTAGCTTTGCACATTCTGAAACTCGAATTTACTACCACACTCAGGGATGATCAAGTTCCGAGGACCAACTTGTACTAACCAAATTGATAGGAAACTGACTTATAAACCAGAATAGACATTTATGAGTTCATAGCCAGACCTTTTACAAATCCTTCTCTGTTCACTATAGGGGAAGTGTAACATAATCTTCCAACTTTTCTGCTCCCCTCTTCTTTATTTGTTGATCCTTCGAGGCTCAGATTGGGGTTATTTCTTCCAGGAAAATCTCCTGGGACCCCCAGTCAGGGCTGGGCGTCCCTCCTGTGTGTGCATGTGTGTGTATGTGTATGTGTGTGCGTACATGCATGTATGTGTGCACCTGAAACACCGTCTATGTTCCTCTAGTGTGCAGCCTGCTGCATTGCATTGCAGTTACTGTCCTGTGTCTCTCTGACCCACTAGAATGTAACGTTGCTCCAGGGCAGGAACCATGTCTGTTTTATTTCTGAATGCTCAGGGCTTAGTGCTGACCAGACACAGTAGATATTTGTGAATCTCAATGGAATTAGCAGAACCTCCTCTTGGGTGTTCAGTGGTACCCACCTTTACATTTGTTCCCTTTTTTTCTGGAATTGTCATCACACTGGCTAGACAAACCACAGTCCACTCAGTAATCACCGTGCAGAGCCAAATGCAATTGAGGGTTAATTCTGTCCATGAAAAAGCAGTTCAGTTAGTTTCAACCAGTTAGTTCCAGTCAGTTTGGAATCTTTTCAGAGCCTGTATTTTAGGCTCATATTCTCTGATTTTGTGTGAGATGTAGTGTCAGAAATCCTAAAATCATACCATTGAAGTAACTTCCTGTTTCCTCATCTATAGAATGAGCACAATAATACCTCCTCGGTCTGCTTGGAAGAGTTTCTAGAAGATCAGATCAGTTGACATTAGCTCTAGTGCTTTGTCAACAGCAGGGCTTATCAGAGGTCTGATCTGTCATTGTTGTCATTTCATATCACTGTAATGCAGGGCTGCCTTTCAAGGGCAGGGACACTTGTGATTCTGAAAGTATTTGGTAGAAGATGGACACTCGCACTTACCTGCCAACCTGTTCTGCTGCTTCCAGGGAGGGTATTATTTTGTTTTTTGACCTGGCATGACCTCCGGTCATTGTTGTATTACTCTCCTTAGAGGAACATGTGTTTTTAGTGGTGGTGTTTTTCACCAGCAAAAAGCATTTATTGTGCACCTACTATGTGTAAGGTATTTTCATGGGAGAAACCAGTTTTGTCTTCTGTTACTGTGAAATTCAGGGGTTCTTAACCCTGTCTGTGTGTCAGGAACACTTCTGGAACTTGTAGAAAGCAGGTGCTCAGACTTTCTGCAGACCTTTTGAATTAGGATCAGTTAAGGGTAGAACTGGGCATGAATATGTTTTAGAAGTTTCGTGGGTTCTTCAGATGGATAGCCAGAAGTTGAAATCGGGGCATTAGCATAATATTCTGTAGAGTGGTGTTGCTATACTTCGTATTTTTATTTTTCAAGGAATTAAGTTTCTAAGTGGCCTGGCACACACCCAAACCACCCAAACACGTGTCTATCCCTTAAAGAGGATCATTACCTTTGCCCTGTGTACACTTGGGCAGGCTTGGCCTAACACTGTACTTCTTAGTCTGCACATATTTGCTATTTGAATGAATGAACAGAACCCAGTAAGTGAATATCAGAACATACATATAGTAGAACATAAATCACAGCCCAGACCAGTGTATTTTATTTTCTTAAACTTCGATGTGCACCAGACTCACTAAGGGAGTTGGTGAAACACGAGGTTGCCCTGGCTCTCTCTGGAGACTGTTTCAGGAGTTTGACCAGCTTCCTGCAGTTGTCATAGGAAGAAAATCATTCCTTCCGCCAGAGCTGTGGGAGCTGGACGCTGTGGCACAGCTAAGTGCCCTGTACAGTCACCACCATGTGGCAGGTGCTCAGTAATGACAGCACTGCTGATGAGAAGCAGCTTGGCCAGTGTGGCCGTGCCACCCACAGAATTCTTCAGGATTCCCATGCAGTCCGGAAGGATCGAATGATGTGTCCTATGTAGGTGGCTGTGGGCAGGGTGAACGGGGTTGTCCCCCAAGCCTTCTGCTTGTCCCCAGGGCTGGTGGAGGAACTCTAACGCTGAGGCTTCTCTTTCTGAGGTCCCATTTCCCTGAGTGATTCCTTCTCTCTGTTTCCTGCAAACGAAGCTTCCATGTGCTGGGAACAGGCACTGAAGATGAGTCCGTGTTCTGACTTTGCAGTGGCGTGTGCTTTAGTGGGACCAAAGCAGCCATACTGCAGTTAGCCATCTGGACGAGTAGGGACAACGGGCATCCAGGGGTTAAGAAGGTAGGCATGGGAGAAACATACTTGGGTCTAGTCCCATCTTGTAGAGATGTGTGCTTCTAGGCAAGCTGTATCCTCAGCTGCAAAATAAGAGTAATTGTAGTATGTATTTCACCTAATCCTTTTGTGAGGACTTGGGAACCGGGGGAACCTTCCAGATAAAACCTTCCCAAGTTCCTTAGGATACGTATCCCGTCCTGCCCTGCATTATGGTTATTCATATCCTTAATTTATTTCACCAGCTGAAAGAAGCTCTAAAAACATAGCTCCCAGCTGGCTCCTGCTGGGTAGATTTCGGGGTCCTGGGCCTGCTTTACCTGCGCAGCACCTTGCGTGCCATTCTCAAAGCTCCTCACGTGCGCACGTGAGGTCCCCCCTTCCTGGAATGCCCCCTCTCCAGACTTGCCTCCTCAAGTAGCAGTTAGCATGGCTGAAGAATTTCCAGAATGTAAACTTGCTTTTGAAAGTTCCAAGTAACTGTGGCAGCTGCCCACAGTCACTGTGGGGTGAATGGATGGCTCTGAAAGAAATAGAAATCCTTCAGTGTGTCAGTGGCAGCAAGCATGGGGTCCTGGCTGCTCGGGATCTGCGTCCGGGCGGCCAGCTGTTTTCCCTCCCAGTTCCTAATACACCCCCTCTTGCCTTTTGCTGAGGCCTACAAAACAGCCGTGGGAGGAAAGTGATTAGAGGAACTTCAGCTGCTTCGCTCCCTCTGAATAGCCCTCTTTCATCAGGATGTGCGGGGACAAGGGCCTTTTTCAACCCAAATATCAGGCGAAGACGAGAGTTCCACAAGAGCCATTTGCTCTCCGTGTGGAAGCATCGTCCAAGGCCGAGGGCTCCTCGCCGAAGGACTTCAGCCTCCTCCCCACCTCCCGGCTTCCCCCAGGGGAGTGGAGGGCAGGAGCCGGGGTCGCTGACCATGTGATCACTGCAGCCACGAACCTTGTTTATTTTGCCGACTTCTGCATCTCCCTTCAGCCACCTCCTTACTTGTTCTTCAGAGGTTTCCAGCCCGAATTAGTACGTATCACCCACCACTGGTTTCTGTTTTCCTCCCCTGTCTCGGTGTCTACATGACTGGCTGTTCACGCTCTGAGGGCTGGGGCTTTTTTGAGGAGCAGCAATTGAGGTTTTTTCCTCTGTCTTCAAGCCTCTTAGAAACTTTAATCTCACGTCGTCATCTAGAATAGCAGGAGCCAGTGTCTGAGAATACGTTTGTCCTGTGGAGTTAACAGCGTTGAGGATGGGGGTCGGGAGGACAGGGGCTTACTGTTTTTAATTCAAGATTTTTTCTTAACAGTGATGGAGGAAGCAGTTCAGTTTTGTTTGTCTGCGTTTGACCTTCTGGAACTTGAGTAGCTCTTTTGAGGACACCAGCATCTTTGAGGAGATGACTGGTTTTCTGGAGCTGGGGGATGGGTGGTTTGTGGATTTGTGTACCTAGGAGAGTGTGTGCCATTGCCAAAGTGGATTTGTTAAAGGGCCTCCTTCCCCAAAGGGATGCCTTGAGACCGATGAATCGGGATACAGTCCCCCTGGGTATTAGAAGCCTGGCAGTGGGAAATAGTGTTCACCTCAGCCACCCAGAGGGCACATGAGGCTCTGGGCCTGCAGTGAGCTCGGAACAGAACACGGGAAACAGGGTCACGGAGAACGTCTGCATCTGGTTTTTGGAATCCTGTGACTGCCCCTGCTCTGCAGCCTTTTGGTCCCGAGAGTCATCTTGTGTGGTCACCCTCGTGCTACATCCTCACTCTCTCCCCAGGCACAGGACGATGGCACAGGCTTGTGATAATGTGTTCTCTTTCCAGTAAGCGCCTGTGACTGATTGCCGGGAGGAGGGCAGAGGCAAAGTGTCCCAGGGCCCCATCATGCAGCCCCCAACTTCATGGGTAGACGGGAGGCCCTCATTCTTTATCAGTCCCAGGAACCCTGAGGAACAACTGGCCTTGTCAGCGATCACAGGATAAAATCAGCCTGTTCCTTTGCATTGTTCCCCTGTTTTTCCAAAGGAAGCGTAAGGGAAACCAAGGGGAATTTTCTCCCATGATTTCCAAGGCAAAGGTCATCGTTAATGACTGGCTGTTTCCAGAGTGCTTGGGTTTCTGGTCAGTATGGCTTTTTGTTTTTCTTTCTTTTTTTTTTAAAACTCATGAACAAAAGAGGCTGATGTTGCCTTGCAAAAATTTGCCCCAGCTGCTTCGATGGACTAGTTGTTAAGTTTCGTGGGTTTTGGAGTCCCTTGGGCAGCTCCTTCCAGATTTCACTGAGAATAAGTAGTAAGCGATCTGTGTCTAAAACAGAATAGTTCTGAAAACAAACTTAGTTGTGAAATTTTAAGGAAGGAGAGGGCAACAAGGGTCGAAGCGTCTTGGGTGATTCTGTTGCCTGCTAAAATAAGACAACCTGGATTTCAGAGTGGCCAGATGGGCACTAGAAAGCTTCTTGCCTTCCCTGGGTGAGAGTGAGACAGCAAAGAAAGGATATTTCTCATTTCTTCCATTATTTATAACCCTGGGCTCCTCTGCACTTGTAACTTGCAGCACAACTATGTGACTAAGTGGGAAGGATGGCTTGGCAGTACATTCGTGATCATAATAAAGAAGCGTTGTACAGATGTAAAGTATTGCTATCGTGACATCTGTAAAGCCAGTTATCAGTAATTCAAAGGCAGAACTCAGACTTATTATTTGATATTTGAGCAGTCCCTATTTTTAGCATGGGAATTCAACCAGGAAAAGGAACAGATTTGATTGTGGACTTACATTCTAGAAGATAACCAGGATCTACTGACTGACTTGCTAGTTTGTGTGGTGAGTTTTAGTTACACATTAGACTTAGCGGAGTTTCTTGAATCCAGGATTAGAACATTTACTCACATTAGATGTCTGGGACGAAGGTGATCTTGCTTTTTTATGTTACAGAAGACATTGTGTTTCTATCAGGAATTGATCTGCTCTTTGTTAAAACAAAAAAAGTGCTACATTTTCTTAGAGAATTTTCCCTTCAAATCATTTATATGTTAATTGGTTGCTCAAGAGAGAATGAATGATTTTTAGTTTCCTAGAATTTAAACTGTGATCTTCATTCACAAAATTAATAAAAAATTAAATGTTCTTTTCCATTATAACACGTAGTGCATGTTTTCTATTCCTTTGAAAATCAAACAAAAATAATCATTTAAAAAAGTTAATATTTGCTCAGTGTAGAAGATTTGGAAAATACTAAGAGGCAGAAAGAAGGTAATCATAGTTCAACCCCTGAAAAAACAATAATTTTGGTGTATCTTACGGGTAATTTTCAGAGTTGATGGTATTTTTGAATAATTGGTAGTAATTAATAGATAATACAGTCTCTCACTTTATACAGTTTTAATTTCTGCATAAGCTAAAGGTGATTTTTTTTGAGCATTTGGAAATCTTGAAAAACTTTAATTGCACATTTTTAAGTTACAGGTTGAATGTAGATGTTATTGGTAGTTAAAATAACAGAAGACCAAAGGTTCATTCTGCTGAGAAATTCATTGGGTCAGCTTGAGGATTTCCTCAGCAATAGTGGGCGCAGCAGCCTTGACTAAGTTAAATCACAGATCAATAGCCACTCACTTTTCTTAAGATGCAAACAAACAGTGAAAGTGTACTTTCCTCTTCCTTGTGTCCCATCAAGGAAGGGCACCAAGAAGCAGTGAAGTTGTTAAAAGTCCTGGAGTTAGAAACAGAAATCAACAGTAAGAGTACAAAAAATTTACCCCCTGTCCTAACCAGAGAGTCAGTCCCTGTTTTTAGAAGATGTTGTATTACTGTGAGATGCCCTTACAGTGTCCTGCAGGAAGGTGCTCTTGGCCCCGGCAGAGCCCACGTAGAACCTTGGGTGTTTTAACAGAAGCATTGTTTCATGATGCACTCTCTCCAGCAGCAAGTTTGTAGCAAAGACCTGGGAAGACTTTCGTGAAATTTTTCTAAAGGCTATTTTATCGCATTTGAATTCTACGTGCTGTTTGTCCGCACCTCACCTTTTCAACTCTGTAGCATGTCTTTGCCCGTTTTCCTCTCTGAGTTCCAGCCTAACTGTGCTCTGATTTTACTCTTCCAGCTTAAGTGAGAGCTTTTTCATGGTGAAAGGAGCAGCCCTCTTCTTACAACAGGGAAGCAGCCCCCAAGGCCAGCGAAGTCTTCAGCATCCCCACAAGCATGCAGGTAAGTTGACCTCCTCACATTGTAACTCATTTTCTGTGCCATTAGAGGAACCTTCCATTACTGCGGGTGAGCTATTTGTTGGTTTTCAAGGCCAGAGAAATAGTGGGACCAGGTTTGTAACAACTGGTACAGGTAGGAGCCCTTTCTTGAGCAGGCAGGTCAAGCGACCCTTTCTGGGAACAAGCGACCCTTTTGAGCATTCATGTCTGCCTAACAAGGCAGTCAGCAGCATTCAGTGTGGATGTAAAGATTTTCTACTCACAGTTCATCAGTTAACTGCATATTTTAAGTTGTATTATGACTTTTTTAACAAATGCACCAGAACACGTTATAGCCAGATATCGTCCCCTTGAAAACTGACACCTTGAGGTGCTCTATACCTAGTCTGGGGATGCTATCATTTCTCTGAGCATTTGGAAAACTCTCATTTG